GAAAGGGGGAGGGGTGGCCCTGTATGTGAAGGATAGCATAAAATCGAGCCTAATAAAAGTTAGTGAGGCGAACATAGAGTCCGTTTGGGTTACGTTAGAATTTGGTAATCACACAGTAACTCGTGTAGGTGTGATTTATAGGCCCCCAGGACAAATTGAAGAGTTAGATAATCTACTAGTTGAGGAAATAGCTAAAATGACAATGAAGGGGGAAGTTATCATCATGGTTGACTTTATTCTTCCTGATGTGAATTGGAAAACAAAAATAGCTGCTTGTGCCAGGAGCACACATATTCTAAACTCCCTACTGGGATTGTCTCTAAAACAAGTTGTTGAGGAGCCAACTCGTAAAGAGGCCATACTAGATTTAGTGTTAACAAATGGAGATTTGTTCAGATATTACTGTAGGTGAAAGTTTAGGATCCAGTGATCATCAGTCAATCTGGTTGAATATAAGAACAGTGACTGAGTCACACCACACAAAAACAAAAGTTTTAGACTTTAGAAAAACAGACTTTTCTAAAATTAGAATATATGTAAAGGAGTCATTATCAGACTGGAGCAATTTAAATGGAGTCCAAGAGAAATTGGATTATTTAAAAGTTGTACTACTGAAGGCAACAGAAAATTGCATTAGGCTTGTCAGTAAAAGCAAAAAATTCAAGAAACCACTGTGGTACTCTGCAGATATGGCCAAAATAGTTGAAAACAAAAAGTTAGCATTTAGTAATTATAAACAAACCCAGAGTGAGGAAGACAACATGATCTATAAGATTAGGCAGAAAGAGGCTAAGCAAGTTATAAGAGCTTCCAAATCACACACAGAAGAGAGAATAGCACAGTCAGTAAATAAGGGGGATAAAACTTTTTTAGATACATAAATGAGAAAAGAAAAGTAAAACAAGGATTAGTTAGATTAAAAACAAAAGAAGGAAGATATGTAGAAGAGGATAAAGGTCTAGCTGACTGCCTCAATTAATATTTTTGTTTGGTATTTACAGATGAAAATTAAGGAAAGGGACCACAGTTAAGAAAAGGGATAAATGAGTAATTTATTACACATGAGTTTACAGAGGAAGAGGTTCTATTTCAACTGTCAAAAGTAAAGACAAATAAGTCAATGGGACCTGATGGAATACACCCAAAGCTGTTAAAAGAGCTTAGTGGTGTACTAGCAAGTGCTCATGCCATTGTACAGAACACTGGTGAGACCTCACTTGGAGTATTGTACGCAGTACTGGAGACCGTATCTTCAGAAGGATATTCATACCTTAGAGAGAATTCAGAGAAGGGCTACTAACCTGGTTCATGGATTGCAGTATAAAACTTACCAGGAAAGGTTAAAGGATCTTAACATGTATAGCTTGGAGGAAAGACAAGACAGGGGGGATATGATAGAAACATTTAAATACATAAAGGGAATCAACACAGTAAAGGAGGAGACAATATTTAAAAGAAGAAAAACTACCACAACAAGAGGACGTAGTCTTAAATTAGAGGGACAAAGGTTTAAAAATAATATCAGCAAGTATTACTTTACTGCTGAAGTGGTAGAGGTTGTAACGGATCGCCTGGCACCCCGACTGGGTACCTCCGTTAAAGGATGCTCCTAGCGCTTCCTGAGGACTCCAAGCACTGCAGCAGACACCACAACCACCGAACCGGAGAAGCATATGAATCCTCCCAAGCATATGAATGCTGTAGACAGTTGAAAAGGAACCATACGAATAGGTTTACTCTCCTAGCAGTCAAACTGGAACAGCATACAATAAATCCTTCCCCCAATAATGAGCAGACACTTCACTTTGAGGGTTAAGCAGGAACTCCCTGTACGGTTACATACAGTCTCTTTTATTCCCAATCCACAAACATAGTACAGCCCACAGGGCGTTACAAAACAGCCAATCAATCCATACAATACACCCAGACACTCCCACACAAAATCCTCCCCTCTGGCTGTGATATGATTACTGAACACAATGGGTAATCTAATCATCACAGCCAGAGAAATACAGTTTCATAAAACACATCATCACAGGGACCCCAAAACATGCAATAACCCCATAAAAAGTATATCCTTGGAACTGGGGGATCTAGGTGAACCACATATCCAAAATTCACCCAGATCCGTTCAGTACTTTGGAAAATACAGTTTAATGCAGATTCTGCAGAACATATACAGGCTAAATAAAAAACAATAACTGTATAATGTGTCCCCTGCTGTATAGTCCAAAACCACCGCACGATGTCTCTGTGCAACAAATACTGGCGAGATGGCACCGTGTTGAAAAGTCACACAGTGTCTGTGAGTTAAAATGGCCGCCATCCATTGTTCTCACCATGTGCTTCTGATACAGGAAATGGTGGCCACCCAGTAACTCCACAGTATGTCCCCAGATGGTTCTTAAAAGGGCTAGCAGCAGCACAACACAAATCCATTATGCCCAAATCATGTCTTTAAAGGGCAATACATCCCAGGGGCCATAGTCACATGGTAGGAGGCTGGCAACCAGGCTTCTCCAGTGCATAGTGGCGAGGTTGGTTCCGCCACACTTCTCCCCTTTACCAATCAGACTAACAGGGTATCTGACCTCCTGCCGGTCAGTGCCCTTGTTAGTCCAGCAGCCCACCCACAAAACACAATCAGTAATACCGCCCACCCTCAATAACTGGCTACTACACCTGGGTAGAGGAGAACTTTGTCCGTGTCCAGGTGCCTCACCATGGCTGTGTGGGTGACTGGTAAGCGTACTGGGTGGGTTGCTGAGTGGGCAGAGACCAGCGGTACTCTGTCCTGGTGCCAGCACTACCACGGGAGTAGTCTGGTTGGAGCCTGGTTGCTGGAGGGGGAGACAGACTGTCTCCCCTTTGCCTAAACAGTCCTGCTGCTGGGGGACAGGACCGACTGTCCCTACCCCTGGTGGTGCATGTGCAGAGACCACTGTCCCATCTGCACTGTTGTGGAGATTACTGTCTCCCCTTGGTGGGCTAAGCTGCCGCTGGGGAGAGGGGGTAACAAGCTCCTCTCCCATACATACTTTCAGCCGCTGGGGAGAGGGGATAACAAGCTCCTCTCCCTGACACTCTCTCTGCTGTTGAAGGGGGAGACCGACTGTCTCCCCTTTCAATAATTTGTCCTGTTGCTGGGGAGAGGTGATAACTGGTTCCTCTCCCTGGAACACTCTCTGCTGTTGGAGAGGGGGACCAACTGTCTCCCCTTTTAATATATTGTCCTGCTGCTGGGGAGCGAGACCGACTGTCTCCACTTCCTGCAGGACACACTGCCGCTGGGGAGGAAGTACGGCACCTTCAGCTCCCTGGGATACATACTGCCGCTGGGGAGGAAGGACGACACCTTCAGCTCCCTGGGATACACACTGCCGCTGGGGAGGAAGGACGGCACCTTCTGCTCCCTGGGGTACACACTGCCGCTGGGGAAGAAGGACGACACCTTTGGCTCCCTGGGATCACACTGCCGCTGGGGAGGAAGGACGGCACCTTCAGCTCCCTGGGGTACACACTGCCGCTGGGGAGGAAGGACGGCACCTTCAGCTCCCTGGGATACACACTGCCGCTGGGGAGGAAGGACGGCACCTTCTGCTCCCTGGGGTACACACTGCCGCTGGGGAGGAAGGACGGCACCTTCAGCTCCCTGTAACACACACTGCCGCTGGGGATGTGGGCCGACCGTCCAGCATCCTTGTAGGGCCGGTAGAGAGACCGCAGTCCCATCTCCACCTGTGGGTCTTCCCAGGACCAGTCTGTGAGGTCCCTCAACATTTGCGAGTAAGGACCACTGGCTTCCGCACCCGCTAACTCCGGCTGCTGCTGGGGATCTAGGCCGGCTGCCCAGCATCCCGTTGGGCCCGGTGGAGAGACCTCGGTCCCATCTCCACCTGCCTGTTGTGGTTCCTCACAGGACCAGTCTATGAGGACCCCTACTTCGGGTTCCTCTGGCCGCCTCAGGGGGAAACGGTGAACCTCCTCGAATGCAGCCTCTCTTTGGCTGCTGTAACACTCCTTCCGCTGAGCATATTCTCTCTCTTTCGCCAGCCGGAATTCTCGGTCCATCCTTGTGTTTCACTCGGCTGTGACCTGGTTCCAGATCGCCTGGAATATATCCATGGGCACATTATCACCATACTGGGCCACTCGCTGCCTCACCCGGCCAGCCAATCATCACCAGAGCCTTCCATACTTGTCTGCTCCAAGTCGCTGGATACCTCTGCTCCTGGGGCGCTGCACGTGTGCTAGCGTTGCCCTCAATTTGTGACTCCACAAACGGTGTCTCTGAGCTGCTTTACCTCGCACTAGGACGCCATCCCACCGCTTGCCACCAATGTAACGGATCACCTGGCACCCCGACTGGGTACCTCCGTTAAAGGATGCTCCTAGCGCTTCCTGAGGACTCCAAGCACTGCAGCAGACACCACAACCACCGAACCGGAGAAGCATATGAATCCTCCCAAGCATATGAATGCTGTAGACAGTTGAATAGGAACCATACGAATAGGTTTACTCTCCTAGCAGTCAAACTGGAACAGCATACAATAAATCCTTCCCCCAATAATGAGACGACACTTCACTTTGAGGGTTAAGCAGGAACTCCCTGTACTGTCACATACAGTCTCTTTTATTCCCAATCCACAAACATAGTACAGCCCACAGGGCGTTACAAAACAGCCAATCAATCCATACAATACACCCAGACACTCCCACACAAAATCCTCCCCTCTGGCTGTGATATGATTACTGAACACAATGGGTAATCTAATTATCACAGCCAGAGAAATACAGTTTCATAAAACACATCACAGGGACCCCAAAACATGCAATAACCCTATAAAAAGTATTTCCTTGGAACTGGGGGATCTAGGTGAACCACATATCCAAAATTCACCCAGATCCGTTCAGTACTTTGGAAAATACAGTTTAATGCAGATTCTGCAGAACATATACAGGCTAAATAAAAAAAAAAAAATCACTGTATAATGTGTCCCCTGCTGTATAGTCCAAAACCACCGCACGATGTCTCTGTGCAACAAATACTGGCGAGATGGCACCGTGTTGAAAAGTCCACACAGTGTCTGTGAGTTAAAATGGCCGCCATCCATTGTTCTCACCATGTGCTTCTGATACAGGAAATGGTGGCCACCCAGTAACTCCACAGTATGTCCCTAGATGGTTCTTAAAAGGGCTAGCAGCAGCACAACACAAATCCATTATGCCCAAATCATGTCTTTAAAGGGCAATACATCCCAGGGGCCATAGTCACATGGTAGGAGGCTGGCAACCAGGCTTCTCCAGTGCATAGTGGCGAGGTTGGTTCCGCCACAGAGGTTAACACAGTAAAGGAGTTTAAGCATGCGTGGGATAGGCATAAGGCTATCCTAACTATAAGATAAGGCCAGGGACTAATGAAAGTATTTAGAAAATTGGGCAGACTAGATGGGCCAAATGGTTATTATCTGCCATCACATTCTATGTTTCTATGGAGATGTGCTTGCTATTTCAGTAAAGGAAAGGAAGCATGCCCTCTCCAGCATTTAATCAATACGTTTGGGCATTCTCAGATAAGAGATAAAAACCTGTTTGATGTGGCAGACAGGGTAGCATCAATATCGATCTGTTTGTAAAAGGGAAATGTTTGCGCACTTACCGTGTACTTTGCTTCGCTGCTGGAACATTCCATTTTATTTTAGAAACAGACTGAAAAAAATGAAGAAGTACAAAAAGAAGTAGAATTACATAACTGCAAACCTTAACAAAAAGCGGATTAAACATATACCCAAAGTCAAAGGTATTAAAGAGGCTTAAGTTAGCGACATACACAAGTTCCGTGGAGATCCCCTTTCTAGATATACAGTATCTTAGAGAGGGCCATCAGATTGACTCTGGTATCACATTGTTGGAAGGGGTAACATTTTGGTTTATTAATCTTTATAACAATGACAGTGTGTGTTTCCCATCAGTTCTCGTACTTTCTATATTTCCTTGATATTGACAAAGCAGTGGTATTGTTGGACATATTGTTTAAGGCATAATGCCTTTATCACCAGTTAGGTTCTGTCTTCAATGATCTTAGTCCAAACGTAAGCAACCTTCATCACGCCAGATATTTTAGACTACATTTTCCCTGATGCTTTGCCAGCATTTTATCTGTAGGAGCATTGTGGGAGATTTAGTCCACAACATCTGGAGTGCCGAAGGTTGCCTACCAGTAAGTGCTTTCCTGGTAGACCCTTCCAGGCAATCTGTGGTTCAAAGGTAACATCTGTCAGACTTCAACTGAGATTCAGAACAGAACAAGTCATTGGCATATAGAGTCTCATTCACACTCTGTGGCCAGGAATTAACTGGTCTTTGACCATGACTAGAAGAGAGGATCACTTGTCTTCATATTCAATCAAAAATACATAATAGTCATCAAACGCAATCACTGTCTCTGTCAGGATTACTGGAGGTGATGGTGCAATATTTTGTAATAATTGGAGGATAAAATTTAAGCAGTTAATAAAATGAGAAGTGAGCTTCTTGGGTCACCCAGTAGAGGTAGCAGAGAGGCTTAAACAACAACAGTACTAGAAAATGACTTTCCTGTTACTGGTCACTGAAACCAGAACCAGGACTGTCAGCTGGACAAAATATTAGTAAATAATAGATAATTAAATCAAAATTGCCATCAATATGTCGGAATATAGAGAGGGTTCATACGTAGATTCAAGTGATTAAAATAGCCTAAATGGCTCTTCTCCTGTCTAAAGGACTCTTAGACGTAAAGAATCTATTTGAGACTCAGGACTTTAATATAATCAACCATAGTATGTTCATGTCAACAGTAAAAGCGGTTGTGGAATGAGCCTTTAAATTAACTCCTGTAATCTAGATGGAAAAGACAATCAGTCAAGGAGGAACTTTGAATAGTGGCTGTATATAAAGTAACACTTGTAGCAAAGCCCGCTGTATCAAAAAAGCTACACTCTTATTGTAGCTTTTTTGATACAGCGGGCTTTGCTACAAGTGTTACTTTATATACAGCCACTATTCAAAGTTCCTCCTTGACTGATTGTCTTTTCCATCTAGATTACAGGAGTTAATTTAAAGGCTCATTCCACAACCGCTTTTACTGTTGACATGGACATACTATGGTTGATTATATTAAAGTCCTGAGTCTCAAATAGATTCTTTACGCCTAAGAGTCCTTTAGACAGGAGAAGAGCCATTTAGGCTATTTTAATCACTTGAATCTACGTATGAACCCTCTCTATATTCCGACATATTGATGGCAATTTTGATTTAATTATCTATTATTTACTAATATTTTGTCCAGCTGACAGTCCTGGTTCTGGTTTCAGTGACCAGTAACAGGAAAGTCATTTTCTAGTACTTCCATTTTGGGGTTATGCCCCTTGACACCACTGGAGTGTCATTTAAAGGTGTGACTGACCACTAGGAGGGTGGTATATTCAAGTCTGGAATAACCACTACCTTTGGCCTAGTCAATTTCTACTACTTTTTTTTAAACAACAACAGGCTTTGACGGAGTAAATAGAAACCAGGTAACAGAGTGGCTTAACGTGGACGGGCAGCTGGTACAATGTATATGAACAGAATATCTTGGAATAAGTGAATATGGCAAATAAGTAACAATGGAGCTTACCATAAGTGGATAAGTGAACACCACATTGGCTGAATGGATGATTGGAGAGGGTGAGATACAACTCTTATTCGTATATAGAGAAAACAGAATAAAGGGGGGGAGGAGGCGAGTTTTACTTGCCTGTAATAAACAGATCTATGGTTGACACTGGCCTTACCAAAATAGACAAGACTCGTGCCTAGTATGTTCTCACGAACCGTGTTTGAACTAAGAAACACCTTTCAGCGCACTTTGCTTTTTTCTCTTTTGAGAGAGTGAGAGATTTACAAGGTTGAAATCAATAATATCTAACCTAGGCCATCCAGCTGTTGGTAAGTGACCATTCCCCAAATTCTCCTCTAAGTTGCAGGAATTTGCAAGAAATTCTCAGAACAGGGTCATATGTTGAGCTCCCAAAGTGAAGCTCATCCTAAGTCCGGCATGACAGAACTTATGATAACCTGTGAACTTTTTGGGGTGCTATTGCAATTAAGGGGTAATTTCCAAGGAAACGGATTTGAAAACATTTAAATGTCTCCTGTTTTTTAATGTCTTCCATTGGCAACTTATCAGTCGTACTATGGTAACGTAGAAGGCAAGTAAGAGAAAACTAAAACTTAGAATCAAAACTGTAGAATTTAGTGACAGGAGCAACTAGCTTTTGAGGCCATTAAAGATTTAGATCCCAACAACTAGCCTCCATTCTAAAAATGTTACCTTTAGGGTTACGGAAACTTCTAAAATTCACCTCTTCAGGAACTTCTCAGGACAATGGTTACAGTCTTAAAACAAACAGCTTTGACTTAAAAAAACTGCCATTACTTTACATTCTTATGTAGATTGCAATCAATCACTGAGAAACTTGCCAGAGTCTTTTTTTCACATGGCAATCATATGTAATGTAGTTTTTTTTTTTGTTTTTTTTTTAAAAAACATTTCATGGCAAAACACATGCACAGACATTTTCAGGGTTATTTACCAAAGTGTGAATTGTCAGAAACTGAAACTGAAATTATAATTTTAGGCAAATATTGCCAAACTGATAGCATAGCTGACTTTAGATTCCCAGCAATACACACTTTAGCAATTAAGCCGGTTTATGTTTTCTTTGCTTTGCCTGGCAATGATGAGGTGTAATTTAGTCCGTAAAGCCTGACTAACCTTTTACATGTCAGAAATTATTTACAGCCTAATATAGCTTTAACACATTTCTCTGCCTGGATGCCATTGTGATCCAGTGAATAGGCTGCACAGATAGGATGAAAATTATACCATTCTCTCTCGTATCATGCTTTAGAGAAAACCTCAAAGAACTTTATTGCTATGCCTTAACAGGTGGGATACACGAATGTAAATACAGAGACCATTCTATGTTGCTAGAATACCATGTCAAATCTCTGTATTTTACCAATAGATGATTTCACTATTCCTGCTGTACGTGTCCATTATACTAAAATACAGACTATTTTACATTTTCATCGTTGTTTACTAAAATGAAAATTTAAAGTAAATTAAAAGTGAAACATAAAGCCAAAATAAAAAGTTTGGCTATTATGATCTTAAAAGGAACCCATACACTATAGTGCTAGACTACCTATTTAGGTTTCTGGCTCCCTTCAGTAAAGAGTTAAAATTTAGCTTTACTTACATCCTCCCCTACCCCCCTATTGCTGCTGCTGGCCCCGCCTCCATGGCTGAGCTCAATCTTGGTGATGTCAGCCAATCCAATGTTCCCATAGGAAGGCATTGCAAAGCTGTTGCACGTGCAGTTCAAAATGCAGCATTGCGCCATAGATAGGCATTGCATCAATACAGCTCTATTGGGAGTGTCCAGCATCTCCATGCAAAGCGTGGAGATGCCAATCGCAGGTGCTGCACACTGTGGAAGCACCTCAGGTAGCCGTCTTAGTGAAAGCCACTAGCCATCAATGTAAACAGATTTTTCTCAGAAAAGGCAGTGCTAAGACTGCAGCTACATACTTTAGACGAAATAACCACTAGATTAATCTGTAGTGGTTCTGGTGATAATATAGCGTCCCTTTAAATTTGAAATGCCCCTTGACTTTTCACTTTACTGAATAATCCTGTTTGTTGCCATTTTTATAAAGCTGTAATATTAATACCTTCAGAATCCTGCTGAATCTTTTTAAGCGGGGTATTTGACAAAAATTGTTACATGTCACACCTACTGCTTGCAACAGAAAATGTCAATATTTCAGACCCTGTGAAACCTGCAAGATAGGGGAAACTGTATTGAGTCGAAAACATTTCCATACCCCAGTATTTCTGTAAATATTGAACAAATAAATGATAACCAAAAAGTGGGTGATTATAAATAGGTTTTAAATACATCATTAAAACAACTACGTGTTTCTCCTCAAATTTCTGTGCTAACTATGCATTCCATGTAAAAAAAAAGTATGCTAGCAAGTAAAAAAAGGTTAAAAGCCATTTAAAAAGATTCAATTCTAGCTCATATTTGTTATTTAGAAGACACAGCAGAATAGGCAACATCGTAATGTAGTGATGGCTAGGATGGTGTCTAGAGTGTTGCTTTACAACTATAAACTTCAGTCATTTTTATCTGCAAATTTCCCTCCCAGGTAATGAACAAGTATTCATTTTAAAAATAACTACATATAAATATTTTT